AAAACAATATAAATATTGAAAATATATAAACAATGACGATCATTTCTATTTTGAGTGGTGGGTACATAGATGTATCCATATCTTCCCCCCTAAATTAACTACGTTCCATTAACTGATTGACGTGAAATCGATCAAAATATTTTTCTTTTCACCGCTATTTACAGTATTATTAAGGCAAGTTGAAATCAGATTACTTCTGGCGACCCACAGTATCTGACACCCGTATGGCAGGGCGAGATTGCTTTACTATCTAGTTAATTCCTGCGGTTGTTGTTTAGAGCAAGGCGTAGGCTACCCTCTTTGACCCTTTGTTCATTCGCTGAACTTACCTCATTGTAGATCATGTTTCCGTTCTTGTCTCTAGTATATTGGATGTAATACTTCCTACACCTGCAAAGCGAAGCTTAACACTTGCGTTATGTAACTCTCTGTGGCTGATGCTTGGTAGGAAAGTTGCGGAGGTACCCTCTTTGACTCATTGTCTCGAACAATCCTCATTGTAGAACACTCCTCCCGCTCTCTACCAGAAGCATTACATCAAGCCAGTATCTTGTGCCCGTTTGTCTTGCATCTTTCTTTTGTCAGTGTTAACTATAATTCATTATGTACCTTAGATGAATTTTGAAAATCATATTAGAAATTACTTTCAATTGAACGATTACTCAAAATGGAGTGTATTGGAAGTCCTACGCTACATATCAGATAACGTTAACTTTATAAGTGAAAATTTAAACGATATCCAAAACTCTTTAGAAGAACAGCTAGAAATTTTATCAAATCATAAAAGTCTTCGGTTGGGAGCAAAAAATAAGGCTATCAAGCTTCTTGAAAACCTGCCAAGAACACTAAAACGAAAAGATATATTAAATTTCCTTGAAAATCAGGACCTAAAATTTGCTGAGGTTAGTAATACCCAATTATTGTACGTACTTTACGATTAATGATCAACTTTTGATGTATTATCATAGAGTCGATATAAAGTCAATGTTGAATTAAGTGTCGTTACTGATAAAACGGTCATGACAGGAAAGACTACCGAAAAGTTTGCAAGAGTAGGTATTAATTATTTAATAAATTCCTGAAAAATAAACCAATCAGATAATTTTATTGGGATTTCTTAATATACTCCAGTCTTTGAATAACAATCATGACATCAGGGGCTTTGAAAGTCAAGATTCCAGTACTACTGTTAATGATGAACAAGAAGAAAACAAACTGGAAGAAAGTAAACCGAAAGAAAATAAACTGGAAGAAAATGAAGGCGGAGATGTAGTTACCGGTGAAAGTAGTGTTAGTAAAATTCGTCTCTGGTAATATTTTCTGTTGGTATTTTAGGAAAAATAATGATTTCTATTTTCTATAGACGATGTGTGTTAAGGATATCCTTGAAGACTCGATTGAAGTTTCACCCGTCATAAAGGAAGTTACAGAATTTTTTTTAAGTAAATGCCCTAAAGCATCTATAATGGATCTACGTCCAAAATCAAAATTTTCACTACTTCTGGATTTGGGACTTCAAAAAACCATTTTGCACGAAGTTTTTGATGAAATTGACAACTATATTACTGATGATATTCACGAATATCTTACGTCATTTTTCAATAAAGATTTCACTGCGCAAGGCTGGGATAATGCCATCAACAATATAGATTTCAATAAATGTGATTCAGAACACTTAAAGAATATTAAAAAATTAATTCAGGAAACTTTACCCAAATTGTAAGAACAAGAGAGAACTTACGCAACTTATTATAGTAACATTTGTCCAATTTGCTATCTATTTTTTATTCGTTTCAGTTTAAAAGCGTTTTCATTGGAGGATCTTAATCCGTTGAGGGATATTACAATCCTGGAAAAACCGCATCTTAACCAGTTTGTACATCCTATAATTGACTCGGCATTATGGAATTTTGCCAAGGTTAATTACATATAGTAAGTAGCTTTGAACCTACATAAATTATATTATGAATAAAATTATTCATATTATATAGTGGTGAAATACCTTTAAAAGGTCCTGGAACTAGAATACGGGCCGATGGTGTAGGATTTCTCAATGACGTGGTAAACTACCCTATAGTTTGTGGCGAAGGAGCTAGACCGGGTGCACCACAGAAAAAAAGCGTGGATGATGATATCAAGAATGCAAGTAACATGGCAGTATTATATAATAATATTGTCATAGAAGAAGCTGATTCACGCCGACAACTTTTTACAGACTTAAGAGTTTATGGTTTAACTGCATTCAAAACCGAATTGTCACTAACAATGATGGATTTTAGAAGTATGCATTTCATAAATTTGTATTAAAACGTTTCAATAATCAGAAAGTTAATCATTCAATTCCAGGTGTACATAGGTTATTCGAGGTTGATCATTTCTGCCTACCGAAAAACTGGGTTGATATGCCAAACTTTGTGTGGTTATATGAGGCAATAATCAAATGGGCCGTAAGTATTTACACGCTTTCATTATCTGTCTGCATTTGTGCTCATCAAATTATCAATTGCATTTTTTGTAAATATAGTTATGCGTTAATTCAACACGAAATGGATTGATTGAGCATAGAAAGAAAAGAAGGGTGAGCCGATACTCTGAAGTTGGCATCGCAAAAAAATTAGCACCATTAAGGGAACATGAATAGACTTGATTATTTCGTGTTGAGGTTAAATATTAGTATATTATTTCGGGAATCTGATAGACTAAGTAGATGATATTTCTTTTGATCTAGTAGATTTATATTTTACTCTATGTAATTATGTTTTGTTCAACATTCTCTTGAAAAATTAATAAAATTCTGCTTGATCGTAACATTACACATTAATATTAATAAGATCCAATCCTCAAAGATGTTCCAGAATAACTTAACTATGTATGGGTCTTTGTAATACCAAACATACTTTAAAACAATCCGGTTTTCCTTGCACAACTCTTTGAGTAGATCCCGCTCTTGTTAAATTATTTGGGTCACCTCTACGAAAAATCGCATTCTTTGTGTTGCATTCCTTGAACTTTTTAGATTTATTCAAAAAATCACGTGTGCGTTACAATTTGTAACGCCGATCACTTTGCCAAGAATATTATTAAAGTGAACACGATTATCATAAAGAAATTAAACCCCCCTTAGATTCGACGATCTCTCCTGCAAAGTAAAAAAGTCAACGATCTCGACGATCTCGGAGATGCGGAGATTCCAAATCCCTGCGACATATGAATTTGGATAAAACTACTGATAAAGAATGTTGTACCCATTACTCTTATAGTCTTTTTAAGTCCCATTCTTATCGCGGGATCGTGTATTAGGTAAGGAAAGATTCTAGATGCTATTTATATTAGCGCTACTTATTAACTTAATAAAAAATCGACCGTGAGAAATTAAGGTAACACTGCATAAAGTTTAATGCAGGCCATTGATTATTAAAGCCGGTCAAGGTTTTATCGCACATAAACCTGATCGCTATCGTAAAAATATAAAGATATTAGTTAACTATTAGTTAACTATACTCCGACAGCCTCTGGAGGCCGTCGGAGACACAAAATTTATGCGATAAGAATTTGTGCGGACCCATGGGACCGTTAAGTCATATGATAGCATGACAGAATAAATTCGAAATGATCTAACACCTGCGAAATCAAATTACCGCT